CCCCCCCCCTCCCCACGGTCATTTAGTGCAGGTAATTAATGGTAAAACAAATTAGACAGAACCACCAAGGAAAAAGAAAAGAGATACGACTTAACAGTTGCACCCTCTAACCACCCGCTCTACACAAATAACATAACTGTTAAATTATCACGCAGAAAGTCAATGACCGCACTTTCTTTAACGTAACACAGCGACCTCGATATCTAAATATTACATCTAAAACTCAGGACAAAGGGCAAAGTTCAGCATTATTCGCGGAGTTTTTGCTTCACAGAACCAGATCGGCTCATGTATGACCCCTTTTGCTAAAGACAGAAATGAAAAGAAAAGAAAAAGAAGAAGAAAAAGAAAGCAACTATAAGAAAACTTACTCTTTTTTTTCTCCCATTCTGCGTTCTCAGATTTTCAGACAGAAAGTGTCAGTCCACAATAGAAACGTGCAAGCGACAGTTCGGAAACGTAATATCGGGTAATCCTGATGTATTGGAGTAAACAGAGACACAGATAAGCTTAGTAACGATGAGGACGAACATTGTCCATTTTTCTTCTTTTTTTTTCTTTCTTTCTTTTTCTTTTTTTTTCTTTCGTTCCTCCTTCCTTCCTTTCTTTTTCTTTTCTTCCTGCTCTCTTCCTTTCTTTCTTTCTTTCTTCTTTTCTTCCTGCTCTCTTCCTTTCTATCTATCTTTCTTTCTTCTTTTCTTCCTGCTCTCTTCCTTTCTCTCTGAACTTTTCCTAACGATCAACCTTTGGACACTCGTTGTGTGTACTCTGGAATGAGCGCGGATTACAGAGTGTCACGTAACAGCAAATGTTAAATAGCTACTGTAGTCGGGATTGCGACACATTATGACCAACTGCAAAATATTAAACTAAGAAGAAAAAAAAAAGCAACACCCCCTCCCCCCATAAAACCCCCCAAAAACCCTCAACAAAACAAAACAAAACGAAACAAAAAACCCTGTTTGGAATGCATTATTACAGCATTTGACCGAAAAGACTACAAGATACGAACGAGGTGCAAAAATATCAAGAGCGAGCTTCAAGTTTCCCCCTCAGAATTTAAAAAAAGATATGATCTAACTGGCTTAGGAAGTTGTCCACCTTAAACACAGATATCGAAAGGACGAATTCAATTAGTAATTGGTATTCCAGCGAACAAAGAGAGGTTTACTGCTTGGATCATTCATTTCTACTCAGTTTGGTGTTTATTTTCCGCAAATAGGTTCCACACGAGCAGAGTTATAGGGAAATTTGTGATGCTAAAAACGTGGATGACAAAATTGGCTGCGTACAAAAGAGGATTAACCTTCTGCATACACTCGAACCTGCTCTAAGGGCCACCTGTATAAAACAAACACCTGTACTTACGGCCACTACCCAATATCCTCCCTTTCGTTTTTATAGATTGATTAACTGATTGATTGATTAATTCATTTATCAGTTCTTTTATTTATCTTTATATCTATCAATTGATTTAGAACGATATCGTGTAAGACTGTCACCTGTCTAATTCAGCCATTTTTTTTCCTCAACATCAAGTTTCCGTCTAAGACAGTGTGTACTGTACTATGCACCCCCCCCCCCCCCCCGGGGCAGTGTTACTGACTGAACTTGTCTTTAGACCATTCCCAAAAGGGGGGGGGGGGGTATTAACAAGTTCTTATGCACACAAACATCAATCTGTCACTGGAAATGAGGAAAAGAGTAATGAAAAGTTACATCGAGCCAATCCTATTATACGGGTGCGAAGCATGGACAATCAATAAACAGCTGGAAAGAACAATTGTTGCGGCAGAGTTGTGGTTCATGAGACGCATGCTACATATCCCATGGACAGCTAGAAAAACAAATGAAGAAGTCCTGGTTGGAGCAAATTATAGAAAACAACTTATCACGAATATAAGAAAACGACAGGCAAATTTTTTCGGACACACAATGCGGAAAGAAGCATTAGAGAACATTGTAACAACAGGAAAGTTTGATGGAAAGAGAGGTAGAGGCAGACAGAGGGAAAAGATACTGGACAAGATGACAACATGGCTGGGAGCAGCAAGAACAACAGACACCATTCTGCTTCGAAAGACAGATGGAAGTGGAGGTCCATGATCGCCCACGCCAGTCGGCAAGGCACCGGATGATGATGATGCACAGTAGAATTGTAAATGAGTTGATTTATCAATGCCATGTTCATACTGTGTCAGAACAACATAGGGGGAACTGCTGCCTTTACTTTCCTCATCCTTATTTTCGTCCTTTTCTTCCTCTACTTTTTTGTGTGTATGTCGCTCTCTTGTGAACTGCTATTTCCGGGGTGCCTTGGTAGTCGAAGCAGACTTTGTGCTGTTGAGGCTAGAGTGGTGAGCAGAGTAAGCCTGATTCCCCGTTTGGACTTCTCTGTAGACATCTACCCCTTGACGCTCATAATATGACCTTATGCAGTTGCGAGCGCCGTAAAACCTTGCTAAAACAAACTGCACCATGAGTGAACAACTCACCAAAGACGACGGCCTCCACTGTGATGTCATTACAGGTGACCTGGCCACCGGGCGCCGGCGCTGAAACACAAACACAAACGGTGAGTTGTCATTTGGATTTGTTACGCACAGTTCAACACACATTGGTCATTTATAAGAAGATTGAGGCTCTCTCTATATATACATGTATATATATACATATATATTTGTATTGTACATTATAACGTTCGCCTGTAATTGGACTGATACCGTATGGAGAACACTGGAGCCCCCCACCCCTCCCCTTATAAATAAATGAATAAATAAATAAACAAATAAATAAATAAATAAACAAATAAATAAACAACAAACACCAAACAACAAACACCAAACAACAAAACGTACATAACAAACGAAAAAAAAACAACGAACAAAACAATAACAACAACAACAAAACAACAACAACAGAATAAACAAATAAAACAAGAGATCCAAAGAAACAAAAAGTATAAACAAACAACCTTCTAAGAGGATTCTGCTAAGGATCCCCACAAGGGCCCCAGGATTGTTAAAGTAAGAGTTTTACGGTACCGCTAAACTCTTACTAAAACCAAGAGACGAGTACTCACCAACAGTGACGTTCCTGACAGCGACTCCTGTGGCATTTGTTCCTGAGGGGGGGAAAAACGGAATAAAGGTGAGGGTGAATTTTACAATCCTTTTAACTCAGATAAGTCATCCTGACATTCGGAAAAAAGACACAAGTATAATACGATGGATGGGACACACCTTAAGAAAGTCCAGCGGAAACATCACAAGACAGTCACTGCAGTGGAACCCACAAGGAGCACGGGGCAGGGGTAGGCCACGGGAAACATGGAGGAGATGAGTGGAAAGGGACATGAGAGAAATGAAGCTCACTTGGAACGAGCTTGGAAGGATGGCTCAGGACAGAGATAAATGGAAGGAGCTTGTATGTGGCCTATACCCTGCCAGGGGTGAAAGGCATTGATGATGATGATGATAATACTATATCATCCGAGGGAAATGCAAAACTGAATGAAGGTGGGGGTGAATTTTACCGTCCTTTTCACCCAGTTAAGTTACCTGTCATTCAGAACAAAATTAAAATGCAAGCAAACTGTCACCTGAGGGAAATAGGCCTACCGTAAAAAAGGGGATGAAGGTGGAGATGGATTTTACAGCCCATTTAACTCAATTAAGCTGGGGGGGGGGGGCTCTCGTGGTCTTAAAGGTTAAGGTGTTCGCCTCTCATTTAATAGGCCTATGTCCCGGGTTCGATTCCGGATAGAAACGGGAAATTTCCTTCTCTAAAGCTGTATCTTTTCACATCCTTTCCTGATCTCATATAATGTTCTGCCTTCTGCTTTCGTCTCCACTTTCTGCCCCCACCCCTCACCTCCTTTGCCTCCTCCACTGGGCTCATGACTCTCTGCAGCCTTTCTACTATTTACTGCTTCTCCTTAGCTCCTCCTTACTGCTGTCTTTCAGCCACACCCCTGATCTTCTGGTAGGAAAGATCTACACCTAGCCTTCTTGGACAAGGGCGAAGAATCTCGGAAGTCCCGTGCGCGTTAAAGAACCCTTGATGGTCTAAATTCGATAAGATTAGGCTTCGGCAGCCACCCGGGCAAAATTCAAAAAGTCCTACCATCTGAAAATGTTTCATGTGTCCTGCGCCTCATAAGACCTTATGCAGTAGCGAGCGCCGTAAAACATTTACCAAAAAATAAAAAGAGCAGGTTAATGAAATTACATTCTTTTCGGTACCGAAAATAAACTGCGTCGTCAATAACTCAAATCCAAAGACTCTATTGTGTGGCCTTTCAGTTTCAGCAAGTGAAATCACAAAAATATTATATCGTTCTACTGAGGACAAACTTTTTTCAAAAGGGGATAAAAGTGCATACTTGAAATGTCAATTAATAAAGACTTCTTTTTTTTGTTGTCTTTTTTAATTCTTTTCTTGTGTTTTGCTTCGTTTGTTTGTTTGTTTTGTTTTGTTTTTGTTTCTATTTTTTTTTTGGGG